GCAGGAATAAGGTTGGTTTCGGCAGGAGCATCGGTCGAAAGGGGGCGCCGCATACCATACCACATGGTTTGCATGGTCTCGGCCGAAGCTCCAATCTCACCCTTGCCCGTGAGGGGCTTGTTGGCGGATGACATGAGGCCCTTCGACCAAATCTGCCGAAACCCGTGGCGAAAACTATGGAACAAGAACGGTGTGAGGCGAAGAGTCGTACGAGTGCTTTGCCAGGCCAGAGGCGTCTCAGGCGAAGAGTGCAAGGCGAAGACTATCTGCCGAAGGAAGACGACTTCGCCATGGCAAGTTCGCCTCCCCCCCCGAGGGCCGAAGAAGCCTTTCCGGCCCATCAAGCCTAGGGGCTATAGGGCCGGTGATTGCCTGACGGCCCATCAGGGGCCCATGAGCCCCTATAACATTATGTACCCCTGTAAATGTCCCTTTCGTAAGGGTAATCATGTAAATTCCCCTGTATAACCTAAACCCTAGTAGTAAGAACCTGTAATGGGGCTATAAATAGCCCCCTAGGGCCATGTAACGGGGGGATCCCGAGTGAAATTCAAAATTTAATACACTTCGTTTTTCCAACCACTGTTGAGTAACCACGTCTTTCGACGTATGTGGTTGTCGTTTCGACAACAGTACCATTTTATCAACCGGCACCACGGAAGCAGCATTGGTAAGGAACCTCATCTGTACCAGATTGACAACCGGCACGAATAAAAACGCGACACATGAAAAAAAATCGGGTCGATGAATCGGCTACCGATCACACTACTAGAAAAAGCATTTTTCCCGACGTGGGGGGTCTTTTTTTCGCAAGCGGACATGACTCTTTGAGCCAAACGACCACCTACAAAAATATAAATCTGGTTGAAGTTCGTTGTCCGCCTGCAAAAATCTATTTTTGCATACGGACTCCTGCGAAAATCGTACCTACCCAAAAAAAATCTAAGTCCTTATCTTCTCTTCCCACCCCCTCCCCACCACTCCTTATCCTCTCAACTCTCTCTCTCTCTCCCTCAACACTTCTCTCCCCATGCCCGTCCGGTCCCCTCCCCTCCTCTCCCTCCCTACCCGCGGAAGGCGACTGCGGCGAGGCGAGGCGAGGCGTGGGGCCGGCGAGGCGCGGGTTCGGCCATGGCGACGCGCGGGACAGCGGCGACAGCTCCCGGCGCCGCTCCCCTCCCCTCCCCTCCCAGATCCGGCTAGAGGGAGGCCGGGGGAGGGCGGCGGCGGCGAGGGGAGGCGCGGGGCAGCAATGACAACGCACGGGGTGGCGGCGGCGGCTCCAGCGCGGCTCCCCTCCCCTCCCCTCCCAGATCTGGCCGGAGCGAGGCCAGGGCAGGGCGGCGGCGGTGAGGCGAGGCGCGGGGCGACGACGACGACACGCGGGGCGGCGGCGGCGGCGGTGCGGCTCCCCTCCCCTCCCAGATTCGGCCGAAGGGAGGCCGGGGCAGGGCGGCGGCAGCGGCGGCGAGGCGAGGCGCAGGGTCGGCAGGGCGCCAATTTTTTTTGTTCGTCCAGTGGATTTTCGTAGGCGGGTGATTGTGCTGCCTGCGAAAATCATCAATTTTCACAGTCATTGGTATACAGGTGATCCTTCTCCCGTCTGGGAAAACTACTTTTGGCCGCCTACAAAAATGTTTTTTTATAGTAGTGTTACTCCCAATACCATTGCCCCCCAATTTCTAAAAGGAAAAGGTATGAATAACACACACCCCATCCCGCAGAGCTATCGAGGTCGATCGAATTACTCCCTAATTAAACTTGAAAGCCAGACACTTTGGTTGGACCGAAATTTATGAAATTTCATGATTTTCGGTACTTTCAGACTGAAGTTTTTGAAATTTTAACATATTTTGATTGGATTTGAATAAACTTTGACTAAATTTAACAAACATTTGAGAACATCTGAAAATTTTGGTCAATATATTGATTTGACAGTGGGGTCCGAAATTACCGAAATTGCAATCATTGGGGTGAGGTGACCCCACCTACAGGAATCGGAACCAGGGATTAGAGAAAGAGAGAATAGAATCAACAAACACGTACGGGTCACATCCACTTATCTATCTCCATTATATTAAGCCTTCTGCATCTTCTTCTGCTGCTGCGGTGGTGTGGTTGTTGTTGCGAGCTAGACGCTATAGCCGTCGACGCTGCATTGCTTGTATGTCACTGTCAGTGACTGCCTCCTCAGACTGAAACTAATTAAATATAGACTACTATAAAACTAATTATATAAATGAAAGTTAATTCGCGAGACAAATTTTTTAAGCCTAATTAATTTATAATTAGAGAATGTTTACTATAGCATCACATAGACTAATCATGGATTAATTAGACTCAATAGATTCGTCTCGTGAATTAGTCCAAGATTATGAATGGGTTTTATTAATAGTCTACGTTTAATATTTATAATTAGTGTCCAAACATCCGATGTGATAGGGATCTGGTCTAATGGCGATTGCCCAATCCACCGCACCTGGACGGTTCGTTCACACGCAGCTTACACGATCAGGGCCCTGTGTGGAAGATTAGCCCAGGGCTAATGTTGAGAGCTAATATTTAGTCATGAATTGGTAGGCTAAACATTAGCCTAGGGTGGTATGTTTGGATCCATGGGCTAATTCAAGGCTAAAAGTTGGAGAGAGAGTAGAAAAAGAGGAGAGAGAAGGAGAAAGAGAACTGCTTTTTGATGGTCCCCACACAAAATTAGCCCCATTTGCACCCCTTGGAGGAGCTAATGTTTTGAGGAGGGTTAATTCACATTAGCTCAAAATTAGCCCTACTGTTTAGATTCTTGAGGGAATGAGGGCTAATTTGAGGCTAAAAGGTAAGGGCTAAACATTAGCCCATGGAATCAAACAGGGCCCAGGTCTAATCGGCTGCTTGAGGTGGAGGTGAGAGGAAGTTGGTTTGGGGAGGCGGACCAGTTTGCCTAGCTAGACTTTTGGGGAGGAGACGCCGAGCACGAGGATCTATGCACCGACGTCGCCAGTGATGCGACCCGAGCAGCACGAGGGCATCGGCCTCGGAGCACGTTGAAGCGGCCGACGATGATGCGGGTCCGGTTTCGGCGCCACCGCATCTAGATCAGGTCTCTCTGCGGCGGAAGCAGTTAGCATGGCGGGGGTGATGGCCATCCGGGCGAGCTCCACCTCTGCTGCCGGCCACCCGGGCGAGCTCCGCCTCAGCCACCGGTCGCCTGAGCGCACGCGAGAGATAGAGCAAGGGCTGGGGAGGGATTGGGTTGAGGGGGATGGTTGACTGGTGGCCTCCGGGAGGATGGTACCACGTATGCAAGCTCAGATCAAAACGGCTCAAAACAGTGTTTAGAGGGGTTATTTATCCAGTATGAAGAGTTAAAGAGTGGAAAATGTATGGTATTTGAGTTTAGGGGGTAATTCGGTCGACCGCGATAGTTCAGGAGATAATTCATACTTTTTCCTTCCTAAAATAAACATGATTCCCGAATCACAAAATCCCAAAAAAAACATTCACAAATTACAAAATCACAAGAACTATTGGAGCATGGAAGCGGGAGAGAACCACCGCCAACGCCACGTCGGGGAGGGGAAGTAACCGCCGCTTGGGCCGGTGTCGTGGAGGATAAGGGTGGCGAGCGTGCAGGCGACCTCGCCCTTTTCAGAGTAGGGGTTGGAGGCGGAGACTTGCGCCCAGTGATAGGAGGAAGGGATGGGGGATTGTAACTCTGGACTATAGGACCGTACATATAATATCTGGACTACCATTTATCCAGATTTATTGTCTTAAAAGAGGTCATATCCCCTCCTAGGATTAGTTTTTTTTGGATGGAGGGAGTAGCTAATACTAAATGACAAACCCACCTGGGAAACTGTTTTAAACACTCGGGTGGATCTAGACGTCGATCCACCCGAGTCTTGCATATCATCTAAATAATTATGAAAAATTTTCAAAAAAATTAACATGATAGGTTAATATGTAATATATCATTTCACAAACATGCAAGTTCAAATTCTACTTCTACAAGTTATAAAAAAATAACAAATTTAACTGTGAATATATGTATACTAGTTAGAGCTTAATTTGCTATTTTTTTACAACTTATAAAAGTCAAATTTAAACTTGCATGTTTATGAAGTGATATATTACATATTAAATCTATTGGCAAAATTTGCTATAGGACACTCAAAAAATATGTAATTAGTCATGATACACCACAAAAATATGAATTGGCTATAGGACACCACAAAAGAGTGGTAATTAGTCGGAGGTGGCAGCTCGGCACGGGCAGCTACGGTGGACCAAGAAAAGGGGCAGTGTGGCCAGGCGACACGTCCACCCGAGATATAAAAATCTATCTTCAAACCTACCTAGCTAATTCTTTAGTTTGTCTACTTGCATGGTTGTTGTAAAGTCATTGTCAATAGAAAGTAAAATAAGGTCAAAACCCAGCTATCTGCCAGTTAACCTTATACTATATGCAATCGGGGAATGATGTTGCGCATTAGTTAACTTGTCTCCAATTGTTTTCCAAAATCATGCGAGTTAGCCGCCCTTAACTAACGATCACGACGTTGACTTCAATCCACATATATATATATATATATATGTATGTATATATATATATATATGTATGTATATATATATATATATATATATGTGTGTATATATATATATATATATATATGTATATATATATATATATATATATATATATATATATATATATATATATATATATATATATATATATATATATATATATATATATATATATATATATATATATATATATATATATATATATATGTGTATATATATATATATATATATATGTGTGTATATATATATATATATATATATGTATATATATATATATATATGTATATATATGTATGTATATATTGTATATATATATATATGTATGTATATATGTATATATGTATGTATATATATATATATATGTATGTATATATGTATATATGTATGTATATATATATATATATACATGCAGTGACACTTCATCGAGGTATCGTACTATCGTAGTAGTAAGTACATATTCTTCTGTTTCATGAAACAGAGGGAGTACAGTGTATCGTTATTACATCTTCTCCTTCCAAAGGCAAATTAAATCATGGCGCCATCGCTGCTCGCGCCACGGCTAGCCGTGCCCTTGCTCCTCGTACTCGCGGCAGCGGCGGCGGCAGATGGCGTCGCCGACGCCGGCGCCGGCGCCGGCATGACGCACCTCCACTTCTTCTTCCACGAGGTGTTCACGGCCGGCCCGAACGGCACGACGGCGACGGTTGCTCCGCCGGCGCGCAGCGGCGACGGGAGCTCCTTGGGGTTCGTCGGCGTGGTGGACGACATGCTCCGGGAGGGCGCGGACCCGGCGTCGCGCCTCGTGGGGCGCGCGCAGGGGGTCACCGCCGGCACGTCGCTCGCCGCCGCCGACGGCGCGGGCGCGATCACGACGATGCTGAGCCTGGCGTTCACGGAGGAGGGCCCGTACGCCGGGAGCACGCTGCAGGTGTTCGGCCGCGCGGTGCTGGGCACGGTGATGGAGCGGCCGGTGGTGGGCGGCACGGGCAAGTTCCGGATGGCGCGGGGTCACACGCTCAGCCGGCGCGTGAACTCGTCGGACCCCGACAACCTCCTCGTCATCGAGTACGACGCCTACGTCACCACGTCTCCCATTTAGCTAGCTAGCTATAGCCTAGCTACCATGGATGGGTAGCTTTGATTTGTGATCGATCTTGTAATGTGGTTTTTTTCTTGATCATATTCTAAATAAACAAAATCGTGTGTTTTGTGATATCTGCATAAACAAATTCAATGTTGTATGCGTCTATCTTGTGAATGGCTACTCTACGATCGCCGGTAAGCTTGTTAGCTTGCAGGGCATGCCAAGCTAAGATAGATAATTTGAACAATAGATTAATCATCTAATGACTAAAACAATTGATGCAACATAAACTAAGTGAAAATGAACTATATAAATATATACGATATTATAAAAGATGATGGAGAGATATATTGAAATATTATATGAATTAATTATGTGTGATGATTTAACATGCTTACATTTTAAATCTTTAAACTTTAATAAATTATTAAATTATAGATAATATAGTATATTTGCATGATGATTAAATGTAAAAATTATTAGTGAATGATGATGTGGCATCTCTGTATGTTACTAATATTTAATAATTGGTGGGCTATACTTTACACTTTACAGTAAGAGAGTAAGAGAGGATATGTGGGGAACACAAACCAAATAAGAGCCAAACTAGTTCCCAAGACGGTAATACCGTATTTAAAGTTTAGCACCACACAATTATTTTTTATCAACATTTAAAATGAGTTGCTAAGCACCCCTCAAATAGCTAAGCCAACAAGCACACCGGCCAAATAGTTAAGATAGGGATCATTTGCCATTTGCCACATGAGCAATAATGTGGGTTGCACATGTACGTTCAGCTTCATCTAGAGATTTTTTTTTTCTTCAGATTGTAGCCATTGCGATTGACCTTTGCTGCTATCCATGGCATTAGAGATCTCCTGTGTAATGAGTAAGGTTGCTAAGCAAACAATACTAAATGGTTATTTAAATTATGACAAAATTGTGTTAAGGATAATTCATCACCTGTAAAACCGTTCACATTGCTAGAGTTTTCTGACACTGTAGATGAAGAAGGCGAGGCACTTCCTCCGTTTTTCGATATCTGATCATCCATAGAAAGTTCAAGGGGATGTTCTATGCTAATAAACCGTCCGCCTTTTCCTCTATGCCTCAATTTTGCTTGCTTTTGGCGAGCCTCAACAAGGATCCTCTAAATAAATAAATGTTATATAACAGTTAAGGAGCATACGAAAGCATCCATACAAGAACAAATTAGAAAAGTAAAATACAAAACCTTTCGAATTGCTGCTACTTTATCTTCTGATCCAACAATTTTTCGACGTTGTCTCCTTCGGATAATTGCATGGTACTGCTTTGCATTCACATATATAGGCTCATCATCAGCATGTTCTGTAGGTAGTGGTAGCAGTGGAGTACACTTCATACCCTTGGTAGGTATGTGTTCCTGTATACAGTTGTTACAAAACTTTCTTAAAACTATGAACAATGAAGACGATTATTGCTTCAAATCGGAAGGATGTTAGGGTTTAGCACTCGAGAGCGCGGGGAGTCCTCGGCGACGGCGGCGGATCGCCGCCGCCCGTCGCCTCGCCGGTGGCCGGTGGGTTTCACGCACAAGGACGTCCTCACGGAGGCGGCGCGCGGACCGTGTCGCGTGGCGCGTAAGCTAGAAGAATTTTGTCCCAAGGGTAGCAATGGCGGTGCTAGCCCGAAGGCTACAGTAAAGCCCAGGGACACGTGTGAGTATCTCGAGGTCGCCCATGGCGGAGGTAGCCCATTGGCTACAGTGAAGCCCAGGGGGATCTCGGGAGCCCATCCAAGGAACTCGAGGACACCCCAATTTCCTGAAGCGAATCTCTCGCTGGAAGATATTTTTCCTCGTGTTTCCCCTTCTGGATCGCAGAATTGGATCTGGGTGAGGCGTGGAGCGACACAGCCAAACCTAGGGTTTCCAGCGCAAGCGGAAGAAATCCGATGATTTGGTGGCTTAGCTCGTCGGATCTGGAGAGTTCCGGAGCGGAAGTGTGATCACCGATCATTTGCCCAAGTCGTCATGGAGCGGCGTCCGCCGATTCGGCCGGACTGGCAAGCTAACAAGCGTCAGGCGATGGAGCAAGGCGGAGGTGACTGGGGGATCCGCGACGTCCGGGAGGAGGAGGGCCTCCGGCGTCCACTCCCCAATCAACCAAGGGTGAATCCAAATGTCAAGCCTCAAGGTCGTCAAGCTGCGGAGATGGAGCGTGGGGCTGGTACGATGAAGATCAAGTGCTTCAAATGTGGCCGTGAAGGTCACCACCAGGCAAACTATACTAATCCCCCCCTCTGTTACTCTTGCCACAATACTGGACACATTGCTTCTCATTGCCCGCTGATTTCTGCTAAAAGATGTGTTAAGCTCTGTGGATTTGGGATCCCAGGGCAAGGGTTCTATAGTTTGCAAGTAGAGATTTCTGACGCAGAGGTGGCTAGAGCTCCTGTGAGAGGTATTTTGACAGTGATTCAGGGGGAAGCTTCTGTGAGTAAAGTGCTAGCTGAACTGAAACACTTGTTTGTAGGTTTAACTTGGGATTGGAAAATTAAGCAGCTAAATGCTAAAGAATTTCTCAAAAAATTCCCTTCATATGAAGTTAGGAGTCAGATTTCAACTTGCAAGAGCTTTGACTTTGAGACATCCCAGATTAAAGCTAGTGTGGTGGAGACTGGTATAACTGAAGAGGCTGTTGATGAATTAGTGGCTGTCTGGGTGAAAATCTATGGGATTCCAAAAATGGCCAGATCAGAAGACTATATCAAATCTATTGTGGAGCTGGTTGGGGAGTTTGAGGCTGTAGAGGTTGCAAGTATCAGGAGAGATGGTCCAGTAAGGGTGAGAGTTGCCTGTAAGGATCCTAGAGAGCTATATTTCTCTATTCATCTGTACATAAACAAGGTGGGTTACATGATTCGTTGGGAACCTAAGGGGTACTTACCTTATGAGAATAGACAGAATCCTCCAGATGATGATGACAAAGATGATAAGGATGATGAGGGGCTAGAGGATGATATGAATCTAGATGACGAATTCAAGAATCATGACATCTCTAGAGGAAGACCTCTTAAAGGCGAGGGAAGCCAACATGAGAGTAGAGCAGGAGCTTTTTCTGCTCCACCCACTTACAAGGGCAAAGTCAGTTCTGAACAGGGAGGAAGTATAAAAATGATAGCCTCTAAGAAAACCTCTCTTTTGAAACACCCTGACTTATTTGAGAGTTGTACTTCTTTAGTGATATGGGGAGACAAAAAGCAAGAGATGATTGCAGAGCAGGAATCCCAAGAGTTGGAGGCACCTGAATTGTCCCAAAATGAGACTAGACCCGAGTTCTCAACACTGTTAGAGTTTGATGAGGATCTTGAGAGATGCCAAATCCCTACTGATTCTGACATTGAGAGGCTGAGAGAAGAAGAAGATAGGGAGGAGGAGGACAGTTTCCAGGAGGTCTCTAACAGGAAGAAGGGGAAGGCTAAAAGGACTGAACCTGCAGTTACTTCAAGAATGAGCTTAAGACATAGAGAGTTAGCTGTTGTTCCTATTCCAAAGAGAGCTAAGATCCTGACCCAAAGGAAAAATTTGGAGCAACCAGGTAATAATTCTAATCCCTTTGCGGTTTTTCAATTATTAGACTCTGTTGAATTGAAAAAGATTGATGTAGCTGCTAATATAGATCTAGGCAGTAACCCTGTTGAGATTGACAACAATATTGAGACTTTAAAAGCCAAAGAGTTAGTCCAAGCTAAGTTAGCTGAGTTGAATTGGAAGAATCAATTGGAGAAACAGAAACCTCAGGCAGGAGATGTTTCTGTTCCTGCAAAGGTGATTGAGTCAGAAGATGTGTCATCCATTAAAGAGTTGGAAACAGATTTGAGAGTTGAAAAAGATGGCATAAGCCCTGAGCCTAACAAGAGAGGTGGAGTGAAGAAACAAAGAAAAAAATGAAAGTCCTTTTTTGGAACATTAGGGGTTTGGGTAACAGTGCAAGAGGTAGACAACTTAGAGAGCTAATCATTGAAAAAGAGGTTGACATTATTTGCATTCAGGAGACTAAGAAAGAGTCCTTCTCTGACAGAGATCTGAATACTTTTCAAGGCAATAGAATTTTTAACTGGTCCTGGAAAGCCTCTAGAGGGGCCTCAGGGGGTTTGTTGCTGGGAGTAAACACTAATATTGCTGTGGTAACAGAAACTCATGCAGGGGCTTTTTTTCTTAGTAATGTCATTAAATTGAATTATGATAATTCTTGTTGGGAGATCATGGTGATTTATGGTCCTGTGGATAACAATCTGAAACAGGCTTTTCTGGATGAACTGAATTGGCACATTCTTTATAGATCCCATCATGTGGTGATTGGGGGGGATTTTAATTTGTATAGGTTTGCTAGTGAGAAATCGAACACCAACACTAACTCTAGAAATATGGATATGTTCAATTCTTTCATTGCTAACTTAGATCTGAGAGAGATTTATCGCAGTGGCCCTAAATTCACTTGGACTAACAAGCAAGATTCTCTTGTGCAAGAAGTCCTAGATAGGATTCTAGTGACCACTGACTGGGATGATATGTACCCTACTGCTCTTCTTTCCTCTATCTTAAGAGTGGGTTCTGACCACATCCCTCTTCTACTAGATACTTGTGAAGGTATTATAGTCAAGAGTAAGTACTTTAAGTTTGAATCTGCTTGGCTTGCTGAAGAGAGTTTTAAAGAGTTGGTTATTCAGAGGCTGTTACCTAGAGACAATTCTTATATTTTAGAGTTTTGGAATAAAAAACAAAGCAGTCTGAGACGATTCCTGGTAGGATGGGGCAAAAACAATCGCTCTAAAAAGCTGAGGGAGAAAAGAACTTTGCAGTGTAAAATAGAAGAACTTGATAAGAAGGCTTTGACTGAGGAACTGACTTCAGATGAGTGGAATCAGAGATACAGTTGGGAGAATGATCTTGAGCACATCTATGAGATGGAAGAACTTTACTGGCATAAAAGATGTGGAGAGCAATGGATTCTTGAAGGAGATAGAAACACAGAGTTTTTTCACAGAGTTGCTAATGGGAGGAAAAGAAAGTGTCACATTACATCCTTGATGGATGGAGAAACAGAGTTGACCTCTAAGAGTGAAATCCGAGAGCACATTGTGGAGTACTACAAAACCCTCTTTAGAGATGTCCCCACTGCCAACATTCACCTTTCCCAGGGGGTTTGGACGAACCACCTCAACCTTTCAGATGCTAGTAAAGAAAACCTGACTAGGCCCTTTGTAATGGCAGAGTTAGATAAAGTTATCAATGAAGCTAAACTTAACACAGCTCCCGGCCCTGATGGTTTTAGTATCCCTTTCTATAGAGCTTTTTGGCCCCAAGTGAAGAATGATTTGTTTGAGATGTTACTCATGCTACACAATGAAGATCTGGACTTAAAAAGACTTAACTTTGGAGTTATTTCCTTAATTCCTAAGAACAACAATCCCACTGACATAAAACAGTTTAGACCCATTTGTGTTCTTAATGACTGTTTTAAATTCCTAAGTAAGGTGGTGACTAATAGATTGACAGAAGTAGCTGATGAAGTTGTTTCTCAAACACAAACTGCTTTTATCCCTGGTAGATTTATCCTTGAGGGTTGTGTCATTATTCATGAGGTGCTCCACGAGTTGAAAAGCAAAAATTCAGAAGGTATTATTCTGAAAATTGACTTCGAGAAAGCGTATGATAAAGTGAACTGGGAGTTTTTAATAGAAGTGATGGAAAGAAAAAATTTCCCAAAGAAGTGGATTAGTTGGATCAAGTCCTGTGTTATGGGAGGTAGAGTTTGTATAAATATAAATGGTGAGAGAACTGACTTTTTTAGAACTTTTAGGGGCCTTAGGCAGGGTGACCCTCTCTCTCCTCTCCTCTTTAATCTTGTGAGTGATGCTCTAGCTGCTATGTTTGACAGTGCCAAAGCTGCTGGAGTTTTATGTGGATTAGTTCCTAACATTTTCCCGGGGGGTATTACTCATCTTCAATATGCGGATGACACAGTCCTATTTGTTGCTAATGATGTTAATCAAATTGTGGCCACAAAGTTCATCCTCTAATGTTTTGAAGAAATGGCTGGTCTTAAAATTAACTTTCACAAAAGCGAGGTGTTCACTGTGGGTTTGGAGACGGTTGATACTATAAGAATAGCTCAGATGCTTAACTGTCCAGTGGGTTCCTTTCCTATGAAGTATTTAGGTTTACCTATCAGCCCAGATAAGATCTTGAATCATGATTTTGGCTTCCTGGGTCACAAACTAGAAAAAAGACTAGGTACTTGGGGTGCTGGTACCCTGTCCCACGCAGGAAGAGCTATACAAATCAATGCTTGTCTCTCTTCTGTCCCTTCCTATGCCATGGAGTTCTATCAGCTTCCTGAGGGGGTTCACAAGAGATTTGATAAGATTAGGAATAGATATTATTGGGCTGGTAACAAACTAAAGGGAAAATACCATATGGTGAGATGGGAGGACATGGCCTTTCCTAAGGATTTTGGGGGCTTAGGGTTTTCTGAAACTAGAAGAATGAATATTGCCCTCTTGGCCAAGTGGATTATTAAGATAGAATCTGATGAAAAGAGCTTGTGTTTAGAAGTGTTAAGGAGGAAATACTTACAAGAAGGAGGGGTGTTCTAGGTGAAAAATGGTGTTGGCTCACAATTTTGGAGAGGTTTGCTTAATATTAGAAAATGGGTGATTTTGGGTGCTGAATGGAAAGTTGGTGAGGGCTCACATATCTATTTTTGGAAAGATAATTGGGTGGACAATTGCTCTCTGAAAATTAGATTTCCATCCTTATTTGCTATCTGTAACCAACAAGAGGTGACTGTCTACCAGATTGCTAGTGAGGGCACTGATTGTCTCTCTTTCAGAAGATCCTTTGGTCCAGCTGAAATAACTGAATGGGAGGAACTCAAGAAAGTAATTGATAATCTGGAGACTTCCCCTGTTCCTGACACTTTACTTTGGGGCCTAGCTACTAACAAGAAATATACCACCAAATCTATGTACAGGACCCTGACCTTTAGGGGTATAAGAGAGGTGAATACTGAGATGTGGAAAAGCCCCTGTCCCGTGAAGATTAAACACTTTCTCTGGCTAGCCATTAGAGATAGAATTCAGTCTGCGGAACAACTTAAAAAAAGAGGCTGGAATGGTTCAGAGTTTTGTCAGCTTTGTGGACATTTGGAAACTACCAATCACATCTTGTTTAATTGCGTTATGGCTAGACTTATCTGGTGTATTTGCAGAGATGCCTTAGGCTGGAACGTTATTCCTAGGAGTTTGGACGAGTTCTTTTTGCTTTGTGATAGTGATAATTCCCCTACTTCGATTAGATTGCATCTTAGCCTACTTGCTGCTGTGTGCTGGAATTTGTGGCTAACCAGAAATAATATGGTGTTTAGAGATAAATTGTTGTATTCCCCCTGTCTCTAACTTTTCAAATTGTTGCAAATTTGCTGCAGTGGAAGAAGCTCTTCCGTCCTAAAGAAGAAGCAAGGCTGGAGCTGATGACTGACAGGATCAAGATGGTGTCGACTAGTCTAAGATCTCCAAGAATGGGTGTGGATTAAAATTCTATCGTTCTGTTGCTTAGTCGTTAGAGTTTTTGTTTCCCAGGTAGATGTTTCCCTGGCTCATGTCATTGTCAGCTTAGAGTTTCGGCTGGAATCTAGATCGTTCGCTACTTGTTCGCCAGTCTGGTTGCTGTTCCTGGTCTGTATTTTGTTGAACTCCTCTTTGTCGCTGGCAACCCCAGCTGAACACTGCCGATATGGCTTTCAGTAAAAAGCCGGGTCTCTGACCTTTTCTCTAAAAAAAATGAACAATGAAGACTTTATAAGATTTTGGAAAGTTGATTCCCAATGAGTCCCTCAAAATATTGTGGTGGAGACTTCTCATTGAAGTTTCCATCTATATGGAAGTTTTTTTTCCCATAACGCTACAGGTGAAAGTTTAATGGTAAAAAGCTTTTAATTCTCCAGGCGGATATGAAAATTTATATTCTCTAGTGAAATTGTAAAAGTTCTCTGATAGATAATTTTACTTTTTTTAAAAGATCTCATAGAAAATTTATATATATAAAGTTTTTTAATAAAACACTTGCTAGAAGTTTTTTGTGCAAGTGCACAACCCGAACTCTTGACCTGAGGTGTCAAGGGGAAAAGCAATATGTGAGATAAAATTGTTGGTGCCAATTAAATATTATTCAAAATCGATGTGAATGCAGTAGACACTAGATGTTTTGTGCAAGTTCACAACCGGAACTGGACCTAAGGTGTTAGGGGAAGAAATCAGTGTGATATAAATTGTTTGTGCCAATCGAATATGCGAGACATTTATCAAGCAATATAATATAAAACTATATTAGAGTTTGGTTTCCTTTTCTGAACCACCATATATAGGATCGGCAGTAGGAAAGAGATTGGGAAATGCATGAAAATTTAAGAGCATATGGAAATTTCAAATGGTAAAAATTTAGAGTACATTGTTACTGATAAATGGGGAACTCACAATAGGTTGGTTGCACTCAGGTTTAGGATGCAAATTTTTAGCTTCTAGATTGACTAGGGATAATTCAGTTGACACTTTCCCAGGACCATCAAGCTTACCTATAGCAATAGAAATAAAGTAGCATCATCAGCATGTCATGTATAACCAAATTATACTTCAGCTTTATCATTAATGTACAAGAGGTACAATATTGATATCATATTGCAATATGACAAAATTTAACATGAATAAGAATGCATACGTTGATTGCCCTGGGTGCTTTCACCAAAACCCATTGTATCTGTGGGACTTGCAAGCAGGTGCTCTGAACATGTTGAAATCACTCGATGTCAAGATCAATAATCCATTATACAACAAGGAGTTACAAAGTAGTCAAGAATACAATCACATAGAAAATGTAGCTAACTACTCACCCCATTTTCTTTTATATGACGTTGGTTAATTTAAAATTAAATAAACATAGGGAGTAATTTGAATTCAGAGTCGTTAAAACAATTGAATGTACTAAGAATATTTATAGATAAAGAAAGAAGGGAAATCGTCTGTCATAATATAATTTGTGCAATTGTACAAGCTTTGTCAATAGTATGGATTAGAATCTTGAAGATAAAATAAATTTGTTTCCACATTTGCCTAAAAGATTTTCTTCTAATCTTGTGACTATTCGCTTGATTATCTTCATCTCAAAAGTTCTGATATGCTAACCTACTAAATGAAACTCTAATGAACATAATATGTCATTCTCCATATATTTGTTCCTAACACAATATATACAATTGTTATACTTAGAGACTAAATAAATTTAGAAGCAATCATGTGTAAGCAAACACAATGTGCTAAGGAGTAAGGGCTTTAAATTGAAAATCAATTTATTCCATACATTAGCCCAAACATCTAGTTTCAAAACACCTATTCCACTAGCAACACTTCATCTAACAAATCTAACATTCAAAAACATATGGCTCCACCATTTGAGATCTATGTATTTGCAAGCATTTCATAACATTTGCCATAAGAAAGAATTGCACAAGAAAGAATAGACAAGAATATTTGAATAAAAGACCATAAATTCTGCAATCCACATGGTTGGAAAGATATTTATATTAGCATTAGAGTATGAACAAACTTCCATATATTTTATGATGAATATAACCATAGATTGAACACCTTATGATATGTTGAAATAGTCCTTGTAGACACCAAGAAGTTTATGGTCATAACAACCAAAACAAAATCCATGAATTAAAATTAGATCCCATTAGATGCACCAAGATACTCAAACAAGAATATTTGTTCACCCTAGGTACTTGCAGGAGCAAAGTCCACAAAAAATAGAAAGATCAGAAAGAAATAGAAACCTATGAGAGGAATGGATATCCCCTTGTTCTTCTTGAAATCCTTCTGTCGGTCCGCCTCCTTCGTTGTCTCCTATGGCTGCAAGATCATCATCTTCTTATAGATAAAGCCAGGTGTGTGTGGTATTGGTTCATGCAATGTTTATGACACAAAATGACAAAAGAGGTTAGCAACAGATAGATCATCCCACATCAGTTTCCTTGAGTCATCTGGGTTGTAAAATCGTGTCTTGGGTTGCATCATTAGCTGCCCTTTTTTTGGTTTTAGTGAAGGACTTCAAATACAACCCTAACATAATTGTTATTTATATAGTCATTTTAATACACCCTCCGTACTCGTAAAGGAAGTCGTTTAGGACAATGTTTAAGTCAAACCATGGGAATATAAATCATGAATAACTCTCAAGTTGTTGAGTTTGAAAATGTAAAAATTATATGAATAGATTTGTCTTGAAAAATACTTTCATAAAAGTATACATATATCACTTTTTAATAAATATTTTTATAGAAATAAGAAGTCAAAGTTGTGTTTTGGAGACCGTGTCGCTGTCCTAAACGACTTCCTTTACGAGTACGGAGGGAGTATGACACTATGTATTACAGTTTTTGCTTCAGGCTTTGGGAATGGGAATCATTATTGACATATGTGTTTTCTTAGAATGGAGTATGTTATTGTGTTCAGTGCATTATTAACAATGGAGTGCCGTATGTGCTCTTTTACAATGAACGAGTACGTGTATTATTTTTTACAAGGATGCACAATGATTAAACAAAGCCTACTATGGCTAAAGATGCTACAAGAACTTGAGATCAGTGATGATGTGTCTATAGTCAACTTGTACATTATTGCATCCGAACACTTCCCAATGTTAGTTTAAATCAGTGAAAATAGAGCAAAATTGTGTATCCCATGAGTTAACATAAATAGCGAAGTGTCCTAACCATTGTGTTGTGTGGTGTGCATCTTTTCCTTCTTGTGTTGAGCATATTATAATTCATTTTTCCCTACGTTCATGTCTACAATGTTTGAACATCGAAACATTGAGATTTGTGCTAACATGACTCTAAAAAATAATTGGATGATCTAATAATTATATAAGAAATGTTCAGTGTCCTTTTCCTAAAGAGAAAAGGTTGCAGTAGCAACCAGCACATAGAGAAAAATCCAAATTCAAAACATGCAACAGACATCTACATTTGTCTAGTTGTTCTTATTGGAACGCTCCAGCTAATCGGTCGAGTGGACATGCAACGTGTAAAGTTAGTGTGTGAATCATTTTATTTATTTCCTTCTTGGTTGTACTACCTTTTCTACCACACATTGTAGGGGACGATTGCACAAGTCACGAATACTCACATTATAGCTTAGGGGACAACTGCACAAGTCACGAATGCTCGTGCGAGTTAGAAATATTTCGTTGATGCAAGTGCCTATCCGAAAAGTAGATTTCAAGAGATAAAACACCATATCTTTAAAAGCAAGAATGACTTCGTGATCCAATTAAAGCAGCATGTTCCATTTGACCAGATCAATAGACGATGAACAACTAACGAAATATATTTTTTTTGTTTCATTTGGTCAATCACAAAAAAAAAATAGTGATCATACTTCAAAATATTTTATTCAAATGTTGTTAATAAACTAGTAGAGGTTCATGGAGTGACGTCGCAAAATAATTTCATTCTACGCCTAATTGACATCCATTTCAAAAATATATGGACAAATGTGCCATAGGATTTAATTTCATCTGTAACTAGCAATCTGTAATATTTTTCATATTGAGCCGATAGAACTTTATGTAATGATATGACTTGACAGATCGGACTCGTACCAGTGGAACATTGTGTTGAAATTATAAGCACGTAATAATTTAATATATTCATGAACAGATCAAATATACGCAACATGTCGAACATGTATCGAGGTTGCGGAAAGACCAGTTGCTCAGCAGGAATTACTCGCGGTTGCAGGCGTCGATGAAGGCGCGCATCACGCAAGCGGAGAGGAAGACGAGCCATCATGGACGAACAAGGAGCAGTCGCGCAAAGCGCTTCCCAAAAACCTTATTGCCGCCTTCTCCCAGTGCAGGACGTCGAAGGTAGAGGTTCCGGAGACCTACTCTCCCGATCGCCGGTGCACGCCGGCGAGCGGGATGGAGTAGTCTACGAGGTACGGCGCAGCATAGAGTAGGAGGCAAATGATTGATTTCGCGTGTGTTGCGTGAAGGCGGCGGCTCGGTTTATGTAGAGATAGGTCGCTTGATCAGGGCGTCCGCACGATCTCCACTCCACGTAACCAAACCGGATAAGTCGCGCATAATTTATCCGGACTTCACGCCATTTTCACGCACCGGATTTTTCGGAATGTTTCCAAAACGAAACAAAACCGAATTTCCCGCAGCAAAACAAAACTGCGAGGCGAGCACATGCATGTGTTCCCCCCACTTCTCTCCACCACACATGCTTCAAGTGGCTAGGAGGGCATCCTCCCTTTTAAGGAGGTCCCCCTCTCCTAGAATAAGTAAGGTGGTACTAAAATCTCCAAGCATGCCATCTCATGAAGTGGGCTTTTGTGATTTTCCAAATAATTAATCTTCAAATGAGGTAAGGCCCATCTATTAATTCCAACACATTGTTATATTACACCAAGCATAGTTGCATTATCATCTCAAAACTCCAGCTGTTACAATCCCATAGTTCGAAAGTTACAACTAAAACTTTTTAAGACCATCATCAGTACAAACTTTACAATTCTTTAGTAAGATGAGGGATCGCTTTATCTCCAAAGCTCAATAAGTCTAGGAATTTTCCGGTATCATTAATAGAAAAATGATTTTTCACAACACCTAGGATTGACTTATTTTTTCAAGCGGACTATAAAATTCACGCTTAAAAAACAACTAGAGGCACCATAGTTCTAGCCCCGCCAGTGGAAAAAGAATTTTACAGGCGACATCCTATATGTACCGCTTGTGGTAACAGCGGACCAACGTGACACAGTTGATAACCATAAAATATTCTAAACCCGATACGAGCCATCCCCCTATCACTCATTCAATTTTATCCTCCCCCTTTCCCTCTCCTCGCCCTATCGGTGGCGCGGAAGTAGGACTGTCAACGAGCCGAGCTCGAACGAGCTCGTCTGCTTAAAGCTCGAGCTCGAGCCAAGCCTATAAAATATTCGAGCTAAGTAAAACAATATATATTTCAAATATAATCTTTAAAAAACAATTAATTTCTAGTTCATCATATTAATATAAGAGAAAAAAAGAATAAAATAAATATATGATGTTAATATAAGGCATACAAATAATATATTTTATCTTCTAATTTATTAAATAACAACAAAAATCATATATTACTAGACTCGTTGGAAGCTCGAGCTCGGCTCGACAAAGCTCGCGAGCTTAGGGAGAGGCTCGGGCTCGGCTCGTCTAGAGCTCGAGACGAGCTCGAATCGAGCCTAGGACGAGCCGAGCTCGAGCAGCTCGCAAGCCTCGAGCTTTTTTGACAGCCCTGCGCGGAAGCCTATATTGGTGATGGGGGAGGGGCAGTGATGGCTCGGCGAAAGAGCGACGGCAGGCTTGATGGTGACCGTGGCGAGGGCAGGAGCTCGGGAAGGCAACAGCAAGGGCGACTGCTCAGGGGCTGCAGATCGGTGGCACGGCCCCAGATCCGCGGGTGGACCCCGTTGATTTTTATTTTTATCCTTGTCATTGACATGTGGGTCCCACAAGCTGACTCAGTTAGTTAACAGGGTCAAAGATGCCACGTGGGACAATCTGCCTCCAAAACCGCTCGGGGAGTCAATTTGTAACAGTTTTGGGAGTTGGAGGGTGGTTTTACCCGGTTTTGCAGTTGGGGGATGCGATTCAGCCAGGGTCAAGAGTTGAGGGATAACAAATAAACTTATTCCATCCAAACAGCTACCGTGATCAGATTACGTTGGCCCAGTATTAAAATTTATATGGGCTTTTCGGGGCTGTAAATGAATTAGGCCCAAAATTAGAATTGACACAAACCGGATAAGACTCCCATCTCAGCGTCCGTGAGCTAAGCTACCTACTAATGCCACGTGGCGGCCGTCAAGCGGGCACCTAATCCTCATCTCGTATAAATAAATTCATTTACCCCCCTCGGGATCCGAGAAATTTCCCTCCTCTTTCCACTTGTCACCGCCGTTCGCCTTCCCAACCACGAGACGACCCTGCCCTCGCCGGAGATGCTGCCGTCGGCGACCGGGGACATCGCCGGCGACGTCCACTCGGCGCGAGAGATGCTCCATCCCATCCTCCTTTGACTTCTTGCCGCCGCGGGAGCTTGACTGGATCTGAGCTAGCTGGATTGGTGGGTGGGCGCGTCAAGAAGGGGATGAGCTTTGGCGCCGTTGACGTCGACGATGGCGGCGCCGCGGCGACGGCGGCGGCGAGTGGGGGTGAGGAGGTGAGAGCTATGCCGGCCGAGGTGAGCTGGGAGATGCTTGACAAGTCGCGGTTCTTTCTGCTCGGCGCCGCGCTCTTCTCCGGCGTCTCGGCGGCGCTGTACCCGGCGGTGGTCCTCAAGACGCACCTCCAGGTCTCGCCGCCGCCTGCGGCGGCGGCGTCTACCACGGCGGCGGCGATCCTCCGCCGTCACGGTCCTCGGGGATTCTACCGCGGCTTCGGCGCGTCCCTCGCCGGGACGGTGCCCGCGCGCGCCGTCTACATGGCCGCGCTCGAGGCCACCAAGAGCGCCGTGGGCTCCGCCGCCGTCCGCCTCGGCGTCGCGGAGCCGGCCGCGTCCGCCGCGGCCTCGGCCGCGGGCGGCGTGTCCGCCGCCGTCGCGGCGCAGGTCGTGTGGACCCCCGTCGACGTCGTCAGCCAGCGCCTGATGGTCCAGACCGCCGCCGCCGGCCCCCCGTACCGCGGCGGCGCCGACGCGCTCCGCAGGATCCTCCGCGCCGACGGCGTGCGCGGCCTGTACCGCGGCTTCGGCGTCTCCGTCCTCACCTACGCGCCCTCCAGCGCCGCGTGGTGGGCGTCCTACGCCACGGCGCAGCGCCTCATCTGGCGCGCCCTCGGCCCCGCCCACCACGACAGCCGCGCGTCCGTGGTCGCCGTGCAGGGCGCCAGCGCCGCGGCGGCGGGCGGCGCCGCCGCGCTGGTGACCATGCCGCTCGACACCGTCAAGACGCGGCTCCAGGTCATGGACGGCGGCGGCGCGTCGCTGGCGTCCGAGGCGCGCGCGCTGGTGCGGGAGGGCGGGTGGGGCGCCTGCTACCGCGGCCTGGGGCCGAGGTGGGCGTCCATGTCGCTCTCCGCGGCCACCATGGTCACCGCCTACGAGTTCTTGAAGCGGCTCTCGACCAAGGACACCTCACTCTGATAGAGGCATCGTAGCTGTAACCAGAGCAAACCAGCTTGTGATTTGTAAACTGATAGTAAATCGTATGCACATGTACATATCTAAAGCATCTGCGTTTCACATTGATCTCCTCTACGACATTAGGATGCAAAGGCTAGATTTTGTTGGATTTTTGAAGCTCTCTTTGTAAGTTGTGACGATGATGATGAAAAAGTTTGGTGAAACGAAGAACATGTATATTTGCATTTGATCAAAATGTTATTTGGTGGTTTATGTGATTCAACTGGATGATTGTTGCATGACCAAATGCTGCTGTGTCCATCACTGTTGGGGATTGCAATGTTACAGTTAGGCGTCACTACTGGGACAGCTGATTGTTGCACCTTGAGATTTTATTTTATTTTTTTACGATGAAAAATTTGATGAAACGAAGAACATACATATTTGCATCTGATAAAAAATGTTGTTGGTGGTTTATGTGATACAACTGGAAGATTGTTTGCATGATCAAATGCTGCTGTGTCCATCACTAATTCACTGTTAGGTCATTCACAATGCTCCTATGTGGCGTTCGGCCTGGACAAAGAAAACCGAATATTCGGTGGCACATCCTCAACCAGCGGTGCAAAGCCAAGAACGTGTAGCCAAACTTTGCCACCCTTTCTGTTTTTGGGACCACACTAGTACTCCGTGCCGCCAAGAAAGAGAAAGGGAGAGAGATGTGTCGTCGTCGTCGTGGTGCTCCACACCGCCGAGCTCGTCACCCAAGGAAGGAGGACGATCGGGCGCCGTCCTCGTCGGAGAAGCTTGTCGGCTCGATGGGGAAAGCGACAGAGAAGGAGAGGCCACGGCCGAGGTCGATCAGTGAAAGGGGACGGCCGCGGTGGAGGTCGATATGGCCCCCGGAGCTCGATCCGCCGCTCGACCCGGCTCCACGAGGAAGTCGAGGTCCGCATCGACCGCCGCCGAGGAGCTCAACGTGACGGCAGCCCCTCACTCTGTTCTTGTCCGCCGACAATGCCCGACGCCAGATCCGGTGAGGTCAAGGTCGAGGCTGCGCTCTTGGTCGATCCGCGGCACCGGAGGAGGAGGAGGAGGAGGAGTGGTGTGCTGGCGAGCGCCAGGCCCCACCGCCGTTGCCGCTCCGCCCGCTCGGCTCGACGCCGTCTCTAGCCGGCTCTCTGTGGTGGGGATTGGGGAAAACTGGGAAAGGAAGAGGGGAGAGAGAGAGAGGGGGAAGGGGAAAAGTGAAAAGTAAAGTAGTACTGGTGGGACCTACTATGAGTGGTTTGCGCCGTGGAACTCACATGTTCTTAGTCTAAGTGGCATACGAGGTACACCAAAACTTTGTAATTGCAATGTTACAGTTAGACGTCACTACTGGAAATTTGGGAACTGAAAGTGCATTGTGTGTGCCAAATTTGTCACGGTGTTGCTTGTAGGAGCAAGACACTGACGAAACAGTTGATATGTCCGAAATTCTGGGAGTAGAATCGTTGCTGCCCTGCTGGAAAGGCAGCTTGAGATATTTTCCACATGATGACCGTAATTTTCGTTGAAACCGAACACTTCTACTACTCCTGAAGTCCTGATGTCTTACTAAGTCCGAGTTTAGTTCCAAAATTTTTCTTTAAACTTTTAACTTTTCCATCACATCAAAATTTTTCTACACACACAAACTTCCAATTTTTTCGTCACATCGTTCCAATTTCAACCAAACTTTCAATTTTAGCGTGAACTAAACACACCCTAAAGACAGCAATTTTTTTTTTACACTAGGTAGGCAGAGAGAAGAAGATTTGATCAGGTATATATGACTCTGCAACTTGACTCAAAACAGTATTGTGATAAGATAAGCCAGCTAGCTACCGGTTGAAATTCTAATAACTGAGTTAATCAAACCACTAAACACAGTATCGTCATCAGAAGATAAGGCGAGAAAGTAAACCCTATCGCTTTCCTGCCGTGTGGGCCCATACCGATGTGCAGTCTGAGGCGTCGTCCGAGTCATCAATTCATCGTATCCCTTCCGGGTTTAGGCTGGTGGTTGGACGCATCTCATCATCTACTTCGCCGACCTCGACCTCTCAACAATGGCGATCCGGGACCGGGGAGACAGTTGGTGAACACCAACCCCTGCCGTTACCAAGGCAACAAACTTCGCATTCCTCCATTAATCTCTTCATCGATCTAGTTCGTTTTGCTTTGTTTGCGGATTCAAAGAAACCGGTCTTATTGCTACGAGTCTACGACTAGTTGAACTAGTGTGCATAAGTTTTTTGACAATGAACAAATTTGATGTTTGCTCGTAGTTGGGGAGTAAGGATAAGCTTAGCTCCCTAGATAACTTATTTCAAATTAATTACAGGGCAAACTTTTGAAAAATTGGAAGGTAAAGATTAAATTATGTGATTTAAGTTTCAGAAGCATCAATGTTCTTTATCAAATTATTGGAAACTACAGATTTACAATTTTGTATATAAAATTGTAGATTTTTCGCTTAAGTAGCCGCAAAACTATGGGTTTTTTAATCTCCACCGTAGCCTTAAACACTATTTGACAAGTAGGTCCCACCTGTAATTCTTTAAAAAAAATGTAGGATTTTATTGCAGTACATGTTTTTGCATGTGGGATCCATTAGTCAAGTAAATCTGCATGCGAAAATGGAGCCTAAAGTTTGTAGTTTTCAATAACGTAAGCGTATAATTTGTAATTCTCAATACAAACTTTAAATTCGTAGTATCACCATGATTTATGTGAAGTATATGTAGCTTTCCAAAAAAAAAAAAAAAGCGCCAGCCCCGTTCTAGGCTTTCCCATTCGTAATGTTCATTGCCTGAAAGATTGGTCTTAGGAGGGGACGGTTTGAGCAAAAACAATTTCTTCTTTTTTTCAGAAGTAAAAAGATATCGGAACAACCAATTTGGAGCGATTCATCTGGGACTTTATCCATCAAAACATACATATCATCATCTACTAGTAGGACTCAAATAAATTGTTAATCATATCAAGAAAATGATGACACATTTGGCCTGAGATCCCAATGCTTCGTGCAGCTACTATGCAGGGGTGCCGTCGTTGGTTCCAATGCGCTGCCGGCTATGAACACAGCCGGCAAAACAGTTTCACCTCATCCTTCTGGGTTTTGGCACACACGAAATGCAAAGCTTGTAAGGTGAGCGTAACTCAATTGGTTACTCCGTTTATTTATATTCAAGTTTTAGATGTGATATGGATATATCCGTATTGTATTAACTTTTTATTAGTGGTAGACAACTTACCTGTCGGTACCGATGTGCCTCAATCGTACTTACAGAGATAGTGGGATAGGGTGCTGGTTCATTTAGGTGAGTGCTTGAGTGCTTCGTCTTTGCTGTCTTTCAAAAAAAAGATTATATATAGATTTTTTTTCTTATTGAACTCTTACTAACAACATTTAGATTTTTTTTATACCTTCTGTTAATTTAAATCAAACGGTTGAGCTCATTAGTAAGAAAATATTAGTACGTGATGAAGTAGTGCCCTTTGAAAAATAATGCAAAGCTCTGTCATCTAAAAACAAATGCAATGCGTTGATCTGCAGGCAGGAACGGCCCATCAGAACAAGCACTTGGGCTACGGGCTTATGGCCCACTTTGCGATGAACCTGTTGGCCTGTAAGCTGGGCCCACTCGTCCACAGATAAGCGCAGCAGCAAAGCCACCCGGACAGGTTGGCGACGCGACGGCGACGGCGGCGGCGGCCATCGCTGGCGCTGGCCGCCGATCCGATGCGATCCGGCACGGAACTCGGCGAGCACCCGCTGCTTTTGGTTGGATCGATGGATGGATGGATCGGCGACGAGGAAAGGCGAGCGCCCACCCCGCGCGCGGGAGTTCCCAAATATTCCCCCTCCTCCTCCTTTCTTCTTTTGATCCGCCGTGATCGGCTATCTCGGGATCGCCGCCGGCGCTGCCGCCGTCGCGCTTTTCCTTCCCCCCAATCGATCGATCGATCGATCAGGCGTGTGGATTCTCCAAGAAAGAGAGAGAGAGGGAGGGAGCGAAAGAAAGGCGAAAACGCGAGGCCGAGTCTTTGTTGGCTTTCGTCTTTTGTCACATTCTCCCCTAACCTTTCGCTTTCCGGTCTTTCGAGATGAAAACAAATTTGAAATTACTACATCCGTCCCAAAATAAGTAACGTCCGTCTTATTAAAAAATTTTATGAAAAATTTTAAAAAAAGTTAGTCACACATAAAGTATTATTCATATTTTATCATCTAATATCAATAAAAATAGTAATCATAAAAAAAATTTAAATAAAATAAATGGTTAAATGTTGAACATGAATAGTGTAAAACTGCACTTATATTGGGACGAAGGGAGTACTACGCAACGGATGCAGCCCGGCCAGGCAGCCAGCCATCGACCTGTCCATTCGCAGTCGCAGGCTCGCAGCTTACCATTGCAGTCACTAAATTCAGTGTTACTACTACCAACTAATTACCTCCTCTTGTACTAATCCGCTCTTCGAGTTGACATGTTTTTTTTCATAATGAAATTCATTCTCACCTTTACTAAACCAACTACAATCAATTATTATAGATTTATAGGGTTTGCTCCCTCAAAAAAAATATTATAAAATTAAAAACTACTCAAAATATCATTTCGGAGACAAAGATGGATAATTTCCACCAATAGTTGGCGTCTTGGTGAGACGTAACCATTATTTCTTTTTAGGGCCTATTCGGTTTGAAGAAATTTCATGGAATGTTTGAACAAATTAAACTATATCCTTGTAAAAATTATGTGAAATTCCTACATTTCGACATTTTGAAGAAGCCCTTAATGGCTTACATGTAGAGCATCCCCAGGAGTTACACCATCTAGTACTCCATCTGAAATATGGCGCATGTGAGCAAAAAAGGGCCTCCAACAGATATGTCATCGAGCCATCCATAAATAGCGCATGCCAAAATGAAGATAGAAATGCCACATATAGAGCATCTCTCTCATCGTATCATATCACAACAGCCACAGATCCCGCCACCTTCTGAAGTTCCGCGACCTCCCCCCCCTCCCCCTCATCGGCGGTCGGAAGGAGAGGGAGGAAAGGGGAGGCACCGCCACACCGGTCACCGCCACCGTCTCCGTCTCCTCCTCCGCGCCTGCCGCCCGTCGCCCCTGCAAAGAAAATAATAGAGAATAGTCTGGGTGGAATAGAGAAGAGCCTAGAAAAGCTATAGTTGTTCAACACATCAAATTGATAAAAATGGTTCACTCATTTCAAATATAGCAATTAAAAAATTTCCTATTACAAATATACCCATTTCAAAAGATTATCACAATAAATAACACCGTTAATTTTAGTCGTCGAAAATATAGCCCGTAAAAAATATAAATGTATGATTATTTGGAAGATATTACTAAAATATAGAAGTGTGTGACATAAAGAATGTATGGATGAACCGTTGAGGTGGAAAGGGATATGAAGGAGAAATCTTTTTTGGATGGTTATTCATATGGTAATGGGTATATGAAGGATCGAATTTGGATGAGCTGTTGGGGATAGTCTTATATATAGTTTTTGTCTTTATCAAGCAGGAGCATAATCTTCGAATTAAATCCATAGCCGATCATTATACCGATCGAATTTCACATATATCATCAGCCACAACTGACGACGAACAAATAGGTAGATAATGGCAGAGAGTAACTAGGATGAAACTGGTACGGATATTTTTTTCCATTCAGACATTTTTTGGGATCGGATAGGTTTGGTTGGATATTTTCGGATTTGTCGGAGATACAGACCCGGGGTATGCGAAGTGAGAGGAATTTACCTTCCCATCCTGCCGCGTGACCCTACAGTCTGGCCCTACCCCCGCACCCCGCAGATCGCAGGAGCGGCTGGGGGGCCTCGGGGTGCCACGTCATACCCCTCGGGCTCTCGCACCGCTTTGCCCCGAGGCCCTCGCCCAGCCGCCATCTGGCGGGGGAGCAAGCGGGGAGGGGGGCCAGGCTGAACCACCTTTAATGCGCGCAGTGCCCCAACTGCCCCCTGCCGCATTCAACGCAGTAGGGGCAGACGTGCGGCGTGCTCGACTGGCACGCGACGGTCAGGAATGACCGATCTGTGACCAGCCTGTCGCCGGTCACATCTGACTGGATGGACGGTCGTGCCCCCACATCGTATCTGCCTCCGGCGGAGTGGAGGTAGGTGTGACCCGTCCCATCGGAGGGGTCATTCGAAGTTCTCCCCACGAGAGGGCGGCCACCACAAGTCTTCACCCATTAATTGGGGAATGACAGGGTTGTCCCCCTTGTCAGGCGAGGGACGGTGCTGGGCCCCACTCAAGGACAAACTGTGGCTTAGCTTCCAGGCGAAGGCACGGGTCGAGACCCGGTCAAGGTAGGGTGGGCCCCCATCCGAGAGAAGAGTAGGTAGAGGCGGTACATGTGGTATTCCCTTGAGGTATAAAATGAGGACCTTGCCCACTAAGAAAGGGGACGACTCTCATAAAACCTGAGCTCTAGGAGAAAGGAAGCAAGAGCGCTCTCCGGATCTTAGGGACCTTTGTAACTCTCAGCCTAAATCCCATACACAGGAGTAGGGTATTATGCTTTATAGTGGCCCGAACCTTTATAATTTTGTTGTGTACACACTAGCTAGTAGCCTTGGGGGCGGATACGTGATTTTCAGAGGCGGGCCTTTTCCCCCGGCCAAACTCACGAAAGGGGGATCCCACGATCTCCTGCTAGAGAGGATCACTCCTCGACAGGATTCGAAAACGAATTCAGATATTTTTTTCTCGAAAATAGAAACCAGTACAGTATAAGGGCACTATCCATTAGAATCGGAGAACGGTCGGAAACTATCTGGGATTTTTTTATGATTTCCGCAAACAATGATTAATTTTTTTAAAAAAAACACGTATTTATACATAAATTTTTCATACGGAGTCAAATGAAATTTAACTTTATATCAAAATTATAGAGCTCGATGAGATCTATAACTGTGTTGCTAATAATTTTATTATTTGAGATCATTTAAGGCTCTAAATATTCATTATAAAATATCATATATGTTTTTACAAAATTTCATATCTACAATTCAAGCAACATCCGACGGAGATGCGTGCTCTATATCAAAATTGTAGAACTCAATGGGATCTACCACTATGTAGTTTATGACATTTGTGTTTGAAAATATTAAAAGTATAAAACAAATTTTACAAAAATTGAAGATGTGAAATAAAATAAATAGCATCTTCAATCTATACAACAAGAACATAATATTCCATCCGTCCTAAAATATAAGAACCTAGGACCGGATGGGACATTTCCTATTACTACGAATCTGAACAGGCAGCCTATCCAGATTCATAGTACTAGGAAATGTCCCATCCTATCTAAGCTTCTTATATTTTGGGACGGATGGAGTAAGTGATATGTTAAGTAAGCTACCTCCGTCACATATTACTTGTCGCTTTGACTTTTTGTTTGCAACATTTGACTATTCGTTTTATTTAAAAAATTAGTGTAAATATAAAAAATGATAAGTTATACTTAAAGTACTTTTGATAATAAAACAAGTCACAAACAAAATAAATAGTAATTCATATTTTTTCTGAATAAGACGAATGATCAAACATTACAAATAAAAACTCAAAGCGACAAATAATATGGGACGGATGTAGTATACATGAAGTAGGCGATCTTGGGACTAGAAAGTGGATAATCATATTTACATACGGATCTCTTAGAAAACGGCCATGAAAATTGATTTTTCACATACGGTTATGGGATCGCCTACAAAATTGACAATATAAATTTTAGAGATATTGACCTAAAATAACAAGCGATATCTCTTGCTTGATTAACGAAGCTCAATTTGAGAGGCTTTTATATCCCGGCAAATATACGTTACTGTATTCATTCTGTTTCATATTCCCTCTGTATCTATATTCGTTAATATTCGATTCTATTTTCGTATCCAAGTTTTCGATTTTGAAAAAAAAAAGAATACGATAGAACAGTTTCCGTCCATTTTGTATCTGTTTTCATCCACAGGAGTAACTCGGCTTCAAATAGTTACCCGTCCAAATCCTGCCACTAGCTCCAAAGGCAACATCGGAAACGCAAAGGCAACCATATGTTTCAGATGTTCTTGTTTTTTTTTCCTTTTCTTTTTCCCCTCATTCTTAATAAAGAGAAAGAAGAGATCAAAAGAGCCATGATTCGCAGGCAGGCAACGGCGGCATCATTTCGCTTCGTTCCCAAGCTGTCAGCTGCCACGGCGCGTAGCATGGACATGCCATGATTCGTCGATTCCTTCTTCGCCCTGATGATGATGATGATTTCTCGTGCGGAAGCACCAGCAAGCCAAGCAAGCAAGCAAGAAGACAGAGCGTGTGCATCGCCTGTCAAATCTCTCCCTCTCAACCCCTCCATCGCTTTTGGCTTTCCTTCCTTTTTAGGGAAAGAAACGCTAATGGTTTTCTCCCTGTGGTGTCTGCTGATAATCCTGCTAGGCGATGCGTCAGCTTTTCGCTTTGTGGTACGGTTGCTTGCCAATGTGGTTGAGTTTTTGTGTTAAAATTTCATATTACTATCTCTATCCCAAAATATATTCCATCCGTTCTAAAATATAGCATATATTCGAGATTTATTTTTAAAATATAATAAATCTCAACCAACAATCTCTTCCCAATATCTTCACTTCTAAATCAATTACAACCTTCTCCTATTTAATTCTACATACTTTCTTAATACTATGCACGACCCTAGAAATGCTTATAGTCTAGGATAAGTAGTAAGGATAAGTAGTAAGAATTTCTAGAGTCAGTCACAGTTATTAAGAAAGTATGCATAATTTAACGGGCAAAGGTTGTGATTGCCTGAAAAGTAAAGGTCGGTGAGGAAATTGAATGGTGGAGAATTGTGATTGGTTAGGTAGATAATGTTGGTGGAAAAGTTGTTATTTTTAAGGCAAATTCTGAACCTAAAAGTTGTTATATTTAAGAACGTAGGGAGTACCAGATACAACAATGTTGAAGTTTGAAGATCGGTGTAGTTTTATGAGAAAGAAACTTACATTAGTCGTAAGTTTTTTTCCCCTTATGGTCTTGATTGCTCCAAGATTCATACATCTTCGGATAGCATCATCTCAAGTTCTCAACAACAAGGCCTCCTTTGAAATGGAAAATTTTCATAAAAAGATTGAGAAAAAAAGTTAATCAATTCCTATGAAAATTTAGAAAAACTAAATGTTTCGAAGGATTCCTGAGATGGGAAACTCCTTCCTTTATCGAATAGATGTATTGTGTGACTAAAAACAACCAACACATTACTAAAGAAATCTATACAAAAGAATGACCCACAATTATTTTACAAATGGATTTAGTGAGATCATGCAGGTGGACTTTGAAAAGAAATTTAGTGAGATTAGTGATATGTCCACTGATTTTCTTCTCTTAGAGTGTGGTGTTTTATGTGTAGTGTGTGCACGCAAATGTGTATATGTCGTGTAAACGTTAAAAGAAATGCATTGGCATGCTTATAAAAAGACCTACAAATTGATTGTGTTAACACAGAGTACAAAGTACCAATTATATAGCTACAATTACATGTACACACCTCCTCAAAACCTTGGAAAAGGGAATGAAAAGGAACACCATAGTACTATTACTATCGGACTATTTTTACAGTGAGCCCCCTCAGCTTCTACCAAATTACTAGACAGCCCTACTCCAGCTCCGACAAGGAGCATGGCCGTACGGACGGCGGCGGCCAATGTCGCGGCGGATCCCAACTCCGGTGGTCCCGTACACCGGCAGCTCGTCCCCGTAGGAGCCGTCGCGACCACCCGCCGGAGCAATGGCCGCGAGGCTGTCGAGCTCGAACAGGTCCGAGCTCGCGTCGCTGCTCTCCTCACCTCCGTCGTCGGTGTCGGCCTCCACCTCCATGACCGGAATTCGGCGGCAGCCGGCGACGGCCGCGGCCACCGCGACCTTGCCGTCGATGTCCAGGAACCGGACGGTCCTGCTCCGGCTCGGCCGCGCCCTCGCCGTGGTGGTGGTGGTGGGGGGGGTGCGCGGCGTCTTGGCGTGGCAGGGGCGGCGCGCGTACGACGACGACGACGACGGTGGCGCCGTCGAGCACGCGGGCTCCGGGTAGTCCGGCGAACACGCCGGGCGCTGCGCGGATGGACGCTTGCCGGAGAAGATGGAGTTGAGCAAGCTGGCGAGCCGCGCGCCGGGCGACGCCGGCCTGCGGCACGCGCGGGCCGAGGCGGAGCCCGGCTTCGTCTTCGCCGTCTTCTCCACATCCGGCTGCTCATGCCGCTGCTTCCGCGCGACCGCCGCGCCGTCTCCCGCGCCACCGGCGGCGGAGGTGCGGATGGGGCGGAGCCGGCGAAGCGAGTACTCCACCTCGGACGACGAGAAGTAGCCCCTCCCGGGGCAATCCGCCGTGGAACCCAGCGCCGGCGCCGCCCTGTAGCTGGCGGCCAGCGACGGCTTGTAGCAGTAGTAGTAGTGGTAGCTGTTCGCCGCCTCCTGCCTCTTCTTGGCCGCCGCACTCGCCGCGTTTCTTGTCCGGCCGTCCTCGCCGCCCTCGTCCATGGAGTCGCAGATGGCGTCGAGCAGCGTCGACGAGAACGACGGCTGGTCAGGCGCCCGCCGCCTCGCCCTCCCCCTCCCCCTCGCCGCCGGCGCCGGCGCCGCCCACCTCATCTCCATGTCGCGCATGGCGCAGAAACAGAGCAGAACGCAATGGCGATGGCGATGGCAATGGCAATGGCGCGCGTGATTCGATTCGATGGTGGAGTGGAGTGGAGTGGAGAGTGGAGTGGCGGGCGGGCGTGCGGGGGTGGGAGGGGGGATCTTGTTGCCGGGGGGCGGGGGGCGGGGCCCGCGCCATCTCGGTGTCGCGCGCGCGATCGCTGTCTGTCCGTTCTTCCGTTCCACGCCTCGTGCTCCTTCCATCTCTCCACCTCGCCGTCTCACTCTCACTCACTCGGCGGCCGCTTTATTTGTTAGCTTTTTGCTTTGTCGGCGCCGGCACGAGGATGGCCGTACCTGTGTCCCCTGCCGCTCTCACGTCTCACTGTTGCTGCTTACTTGCCTCGCCGTTTTTAGTTTTTACCGCCATGGGCGCCGGCGGGATGATCATGGGCTGCTGCCTAACGGGTTGGGCTGTTTCGGACGTGGGTGATGTTGGGTTGGGGCTTTGTTCTTTGTGTTTAGGAAAAAGTACACCGAAGTTCCCTCAACTTGTCACCGAGATAAAAAAACGTCCTCGAACTGCAAAACCAGATATCGAGGGTCCCTTAACTTACTAAAACCGGTCGCAAGTGGTCCCAAGGCAGTATTTCACATGGTTTTATCCTACGTGGCGCTGGTTTTGTCCACCGTGGCGCTTTGACCTTGGTCTTCGTTGCTGAGTCACCAGCGCCACGCGAAGCTGGTGGGACGGAGTGGGGCAGCGATGAGCGGACGCGTGGGCAGAGTGGCGGCACCCGAAGCCGGCGGGGCGGTGAAACCAAGCGGAGGACGCCAGCCTCATCGTCGTCATCTTTCGGCTTAGGGAGGAGGCGCGGGAGCTGGAGCCTGAGGAGGGGCTCCGCTAGAAGCCGCTGCTGTAGAACCGGGAGCGCATCATCTCGAGCTCCAGCTCCGACGCCGCCTCGGCCGCGTCAGTTTCGCCGCGCCCCCACTCCGCCGCCGACGCCACCTTGTCGTCCATCATATCGAACGTTGACGCGGCCGCGATCATCGCCTTGGCGCTCCCCGACAGCGACTCGTCTGGGGCGGCCCTCCTGCAGCCCCACCGCCCCCTGCGGCGGCCTCGGCTCTTGCGCCGCCGCTTCATGACCCGCCGCATGACACCAGCGGGGAGCCTGACGATGACGAGCAGCAGGATCGCCGCTCCCTTCCTCCTCCTCCTCCTCCTCTTCTCTCTCTCTCTTGTCTGGGCAGGGCGGCCAGCAGCGGTCCACTTCGTCCTCGACCTCGCCGGCGGCGGTGAGCTGTTCTCCTTGCCAGCGGTGGCAGGGGCAGGAGCGAGAGATGACGAGCTCGAGGAGGATGGAGAAGGCAGTGGAGCGGCACCGCCCGGGCCGCTGCTTCCCCCGCCGCCGGCGCCCGCCCGCGCGCCGCTCCTCCCCCCGCCGCTTGCACCCGCCGACCGTCCCCCGTGCAGCTGCTTCCCCCGCCTGCGCACGCCAGCAACCACCTCCGCCTCCGGCACTGAAGCCGCCATTGTCGTCGTCTACTTGTCTTCATCCACCCCCAAACCGTCGTCGCGCCTAGACGTGCGCCGCCGTGTAGCCACCCCTTTCCCCTCGGGCGCTGATCGCCGCGCCGCGCCGATGCGCCCGACCATCGCCCAAGCGGAGCCGACGCCGCCGCTTGCGCCCCCTCCAATTGGCCCCCTGACCTTCTCCTTCCGGCACCACTCCCTTCCCTCCCTCCCTCCTCTGCCCGGCGCCGCCCTGATTCCTCCCCTCTGCGCCGCCTCCCGGTCGCCCTACCAAGACGCCGCGCCGCGCAACCTTTCTCCTCCTGCGCGCGGCTCCTGCACGCAACCGCGCCGCCACCAGGCTCTCTCTCCCTGCCGCCAAGCTCTCCCCCTTCCGCCGGCCCCCTCTTCCCCACCGCCGCCGGCCATCACCTGCGTCGTCGGCGCCCATCCTTTGCTGCGCGCGCGTGACGGCGTGCGTGAGGAGGGAAAAAAGGCAGAGAGAGAAAGAGAACGGCGAAGAGAAGAAACCGTGAGAAAGAGACAAAATTAAAAGAGAAAGAAAAGAAAAAGGAAGTGGGACCCCCTGACTCCTCCTCCCCGTGAAGCCATAAAGGGAGAGAGATGTGACGTGGCAACCTGACACGTGGGGCCCACGCTAACTCAGCTGCGACGTAGCATAAAACCGGGCTCAAAACCACCGAATGACCTATTGTGACCGGTTTTGGTAAGTTAAGGGACCCTCGATATCTGGTTTTGCGGTTCGAGGACGTTTTTTTATCTCGGTGACAAGTTGAGGGACCTTCTGTGTACTTTTTCCTTGTGTTTATTTGTGGGTCATAATGGCTCAGTAATGTCCAATACGAGTTGTTTGCAAATGGAATAAGTTTGATTTAGGTCCATGATATTGACGTCGGGTTTGAATTACATCCTTCAACAAAAATACCAGATATAACGTGGCTCTCAACTTGTAAAACCGGTGTACCTCGAGGTCCCAAAGTAGTATAGTGCCCGGTTTTAACTGACGTGGCAAGTTGACTCCAATCAAACCTGGTTGAGTTGGCATGGCCCCCACATGTCACCAAGCCTCCTCTATTCCTCCTCTCTCCCCCTCTCCCCCACTCTCCTCTCTTCCCCCATCTCTCTACCAGCTAGGAGGCCTACAGTGGGTGCCGCCCAACTAGAAGAGGAGCAACGGCCATGGCGGAGCTTGTCAACGAGACGCAACATCTCCATCTCCTTATTGAACTCCTCCTACACAATATCGGTCTTCCGCCACCCTTCTACTCCGTTGCGGCCGCTATCCCTCTCCTCGTCGGGTTGGATGTACTCCAAACTTGCCGAACTACAGGAACCATTCAGAGACTTCCTCATGTGTACACGGGTGAGCATGTCCGGGTAGGAATACAACGCAGACATAGGCCAACAAAGGGAGGATATGGACATGTCCTGTGTCACGAAGAGGAATCCCCCAAGCTCCTCATCTTCGGTGTGCGCTTTGCTCGCCCGCGTGCACTCGTCGAGCATGCACACTAGCATGTTTGGTGGTGAGCGACGGCTCACCCTCCCTCGGGACCCTCGCTGAGGCCGCCGATGCCGAAGCAGACAACAACACCCCTCACGTGCCTCTGTCACCGACATCTTCATCGCCACCTCGCTGCTAAGCACATCTGCCTCTAATGATTGCATCGTTTCGCTGGTGCCGCTTCCCTAGCTCCCGCCATAGGGCTGGATTCGGTGCTCCGAGGAAGCTCGACTTGCACCTTGGAGGCTAATTAGCCATCGCTACCACCACCTAGTGGTCGGCGGGCATGGAGGTGCCCCTGTACACCTCTGCATCCACACTCACCACCGCGGCCATGCTCCCACTGGTGGAGAAACCGTCTTTGGTCGGTCGCCCGAAATCCACAATAGTCTCGGTTCCACTAAAAACCGGGACTAAAAATGATCTTTAGTCCCGGTTGGTGGCTACAGCGGGTATATTTGATCTTTAGTCCCGGTTGGTGTTACCAACCGGGACTAAAAATGATCTTTAGTCCCGGTTCTAAATCTGTCAGGCCTTGTCAGGCCCCCCGAGATCTTTAGTCCCGGTTGGTAACACCAACCGGGACTAAAGATCAACATAAGCTTTACTCCCGGTTGGAGTTACCAACCGGGACTAAAGATGTATTTTTAGTCCCGGTTGGTAATACCAACCGGGAGTAAAGATTCCCATGCTATCCCCGCCTTTAAGTCCCCTTTTTTTTCTCTCCTCTTTAAGTCTCTCGGTATCCGCCTCCAGCGCCTCCTCGATATCCTCTTCCTCCCCTGGCCCTTCCCCTTCCTCCTTCCCCTCTCTGCTCCCCCTTTCTATCCCCGCCTCCTCCTCCTCCTTCCCCTCTCTACTGCGGCCGGGCGGCGGCGACGGAACGAGGTGGCGGCGACGGAGCGAGGCGACTGCGCGGCGGCGGCTGGTGGGGCCGCGGCTGTGCGGCGGCGGTGGAGCGAGGCGGCCGCGCGGCGGCGGCGGAGCGAAGCGGCCGCGCGGCAGGCGGCCGTGCGACGGCGGCCGATGGGGCCGCGGCCGGCGGCCGGCAACAGCGGCAGTCAACATTGTTTTTTTATTTGTGATTCACTGTGATGTACTTTTGTATGGACAATATTGTGATTCATTGTACATTTGTATGGATCTGTGATGTATAAGATTTGTGATGTTACTTTGGTTTGGGTTTGATTTGGGTATTTGGGGTTTGATTTGGGATATGTATCCCACTTGATTCGAGAGAAAATAAAAAAGAAAAAAAAAGAAAAGGACCATCTCACCGCCGCTACCTCTCTTTGGTCTCGGTTGGTGTTACCAACCGGGACTAAAGATCCCCTCTCTTTAGTCCCGGTTGGTAACACCAATTGGGACTAAAGATCGATCTTTAGTCCCGGGTATTTGAACCGGGACTAAAGATAACGATCTTTAGTCCCGGATTGGTAGTCCCGGTTTAAAAACCGGGACTACAGGGGGGTTACGAACCGGGACTAAAAAGCACTTCTCCACCAGTGTCCGCATCATGATGTCCTCCTCCTCGCTCACCACCAAACTCGATGGCACTGTCTCTACCCTTTCCCCTCTGGTCGTTGCCTGTCTCCCAGCTTGGAAAGAGATGGGGAAGTGAGGGGAGAGGGAAGAATAGAGGAACATGGGTTGGTTTGTGACATGTGGGCGCATACGAGTCCCATGCTGACTCGTCGTGTTGACTAGAGTTAAATCGCTACGTCAATCAAAACCAGGCACTATACTGCTATGGAATCTTAGGTACACCGGTTTTTCAGGTTAAGAAAAATGTTGTATCTGGTGTTGCGATTTTTTAGGATATAATTCAAACTTGACGTCAAGATGAGGGATCTACAAGGAAATTATTCCTTTGCAAATAGCAATCTCCTTGGGGCAAGGGATGCATAGGATATCCAAGCAAGAGTAGTATAACTGGGCTTGGTTTATGTAGAATGACTGGTGCAGTGACGCTGAACAAATGGTCCTGATTTATTTTTTACTGTCAGTTACCTATATTTATGCAAGATATGTACATAAGGTGTATAAGCATAAACTTACATGATATGGAAATACAATACTAAATGTACAACGAATTTAAATGCATTGTATTGGAATCGGTCTAGATTGATAAAATAATTGATAAGTAAAAAAGAACAACTGACAAATACATAACCATGTAAAAAAGTAGTAGGACGATCCAGTTGCGTAACTACATCTACTATTAATTTGGTCATGGACAATCAAAGTACGCCAATTAATAGTCGGCAATAGTCCTGAACAATCGAAGTACAT